TTCCTCCTGACTTATCTCTGCGCACTAGCAAAGCCCCAGCTATGATTCCACGTTGTTGCCGGCTTTATTACCTTCCCACAGCAGCTCTTTGACCTCTGCTGCTCCTCTTTTCCCCTCCCGCCCTCATCCATTTTTTAAGGTACTGTGTAGAAAAGAGGGAAATAGCTGGTCTTATTTAATGCCAGAAAAGACAATTAAAAGCAAATTTAAAAAATGCTGCAGGAATATTTACCTTTCAGTCATTAGTGAAATACCAGAGATCCCTAGAGATAATTCAGGCTTATCTGGAACAACTTCCTTACTTTTCACCTTGAAGTAAAATACGAAAATATTGATTACAGGTTAGCATATTAATTGTGCTCTTCACCCTGATATGAACAAAAATGTCACATAATTCTTCACTTAGTCTTTCCAGAAGCTCTCAAAACATTCACAAAATTACAAAGCAGTTTTTCACTGTTTGTGTGAAATTGCTATCTTTAATTTAACTGAGCAAATCTGTGTAGCATTCTTCTGCTCATACTTCATTGAAAGGAAACTGTTTCTAAGAATATTGCTTGACTGTAATTCTGTTTCAGCCCTGTATAAAGTAAGATTATGTACTGTGTATAAGCCTGTTAGTGAGCTATCCAGCTATTTTATCTCCTAAAAATCAATTTAATCACTGAAATTTTCAAGGAACACATCACAAGCTAATATGTCAAGAGCAGCAGCAGTTTTTTAAGTAAGTTATTAACTTTGACTACCACCGTGTGGTTCACTCTAGTATTACATAGTTTTAAATCTGCCAGGCATAAAGGAAAGTTTTTATAATAACTAGTCATTAAGCTGCAGTTCCACTAGATCTACATTACCAGATGGCCTGGGTGGTTCATCTGTCTCCAAATCGAATGCAGAACTTGATCATATGTCTGCCAAACCAGCTGATTTCGATGATACATTGGTTCTAATCACAGCTTTGCCTTACCTTGCACTCAAGTGCAACTGCGGCTCCTGCAGACACACGAGTTGCCTTATACCTACCCAGCAACACGGGTTACAAATCCTTGCTGAAGTAAGTTAGGCAGTGCTTGGCAAATCTAATAGCAACAAGTTATGTGTTGCCATGCTCCTACCCTTACCTACGTTCACTTCAAACTAGCTGGCTAAAATACTTTTACAAGTTTAGATTCACACTGATGACTGTACTCAAGCTACCCCACGAGGAAAGAATAACTCTCTGCTTGCTGCTCTGTAATAAAACCAGGGTGGCACAAAAATGAAAAAATCAACTTAATCTTGGTGAAAACTTCCATGTGAAAGTCATGAAACAGAAATGCTAATCTGGAGTTTTCACAAATACTAAAACTTTAATGACATAAAATAATTAACATACAAGCCAACTAATATGTATTTAATAGTTTGGTGTTCCCTATGTGCTTTATATACTTCAATGATTTTCTAGTAGTTATATAATGCTGAAATTTATAACCCATTTCTTAGAATAATTAGTATAAACATGTTTGAAAGAAGTAATCATTTATAAGCATTTTTTTTTATTTTACTTCTATGTGGTTTCTTCTCTTACCTCCCTTCTGTAAGTTGGCATTTGTATACCCTTTTGTGCTTCATTTAATTCTTTCAGTTTGCTTTTCAGAGTTCTTATTTTATCATCTTGGTTGGAAATAATACATATAAGCTTCCTTTCCTTTTGATTGTTTTTGTCCTCAAGTTGCTTCAATTTCATTCTCTCATTTTCTAACTCTTCCTAAAAAATAATTTTAGAAACACCAGTACAATTAATAGAATTGAGGTCTTTGGAATACCACAAACCAGTCTGGAATAAGCTAAATTAAGCTTCTGCAGCATAAGTAAGGGTCAGTCTTATTGCATTTATTACATTACTAATTTTAAACTGATATTAAAGACCTTCTACTACTATACATAGATGTAACTCAACATACATGATTACTCAAAACAACTGTATGTTCTGAATTTCTAAAAGCAGTATTAGTGTTTATAAAAATGTAAAGACACTCCATTCATTTACTATATCATTTACATTATTTTATATGAAATATAAAAAATAATTTTCATTAATTTCAATCAATCTTAAACAATTCTGAAGAATGTGATATTCTGCAGCTACCTTAATTTTTAAGCAGGCCCAAGTATAGAACCATACAATTACAGAATCACAGAAAATCTCAAGTTAGAAGGGACACGGAAGGATCATTGAGTTCAACTCCTTGCTCCACGCAGGACTATCTAGAACTAAACCATATGACTAAGAGCATTATCCAGACGCTCCTTGAACTCTGAGAGACTTGTTGCCATGACCACTTCCCTGGGGAGCCTGTCCCAGTGAGTGACTGCCTTCCCAGTGAAGAACCTTTCCCTAGTGCCCATCCTGATCTTCCTCTGGTGCAGCTTTATTCCATTCCATCAGGTCTTATCGCTGGTCACCAGAGAGAGATCAGCACCTCCCATTCTGCTGCCCTCCTTGAGGAAGCTGTAGACTGCAGGTCACCTCTGCCTTCTCCAAGACAATCAAACTGAGTGACCTCAGTTGGGCCTCATAAAACTTGCCCTTGAGTCCTTTCATCATCTTGGCCACCCTCCTCTGGACACACTTCAATAGTCTGATGTCCTTCCCATCATGTCGTGCACAAACTGCTCGCAGTACTCGAGCTGGGGCTGTATCAGTGCAGAATAGAGTGGGACAATCACCTCCCTTAACCAGCCAGCGACGCTGTGCTTGATGCACCCCAGAACACAGTTGGCCCTTCTGACTGCCAGGGCACGCTGCTGACTCATATTCAACTTGCCATGAACCCAAGCCCCCAAGATTTCTTTCTGTGGAACAGCTCTCTAGCCTCTCGTCCCCTAATCTGTACGTATAACCAGGATTACATTGTGGATATTGGAATGATATAAAGATTTGTGAAATAAAAAGCAGTGGCTGGCCCCACTTTAACTATCCATCTGCTAATTCATGCAGTTTTTGTGTGTGTGGGCTTTTTGGTGGAATGAAGAATATAAAGGAACAATTTTTTTATATATGCACGAAGATAGTCCTCGCATAATTTTCAAGAAACAATCTATGGTTAAAAACTGTGGCTGTCAGTTCATGAAATCTATAGAAAGAGTAATATTGAACTGTATCAAGTGTCACAAAAAGTGGCCTGAAGCCCCACGTCTGTGCAAGAGAAGTAAGCCCAAAGGGTTAACTCTGCAAGAAGTAATGTAAGTGAAATGAAGTGAGGCAGTTTGTAGGCAGGTAGGGCAAGGTGATAAGGAAGGAAGCAAATAAGTGCTTTTTCAAGAACGTCTGGTTTATTTACAAATGGGACCTAAACAGGGTGAGGTTGTGCATGTGGAGATGAGGGAGGCAGGGGCTCCTCTGCTGGACCATGACGGCCATGGAGGGGTGGGCCCAGCGCTGGTCTGCAGAGACTGGCTTGTTAAGCATGAATGTGTGTGTATGCAGTTGGCACAACAGTTTAGCCTCAAAGAGTTATATTAGCTGGATTAAAAATCAACCCAAACCCAAACCAAACCCCACAGAGAAATGGCTGTGAAGGCATTGGGTTTTTTCTTTAGTTTTGATTGTGACTTTGAATAATAAACCTACAGTAAGACTTTCAATGCAACTCCGGACTTGAGTGGTATCTCAGGGATCCAGATTAGGCCTCTTATGCTCAGTGGGTTCAAAACATTGTTTAAAAATATGTTTCTACCCCAGGAAAACTCCTTAATCCTTACGCTTCTTCCATGCTTTGCACTTCTGTCTGGTGGCGTGGGGAATATATGTATAGTCCTAGGACAGATCAAGAAAGACTTTCTATACTCTTCCAGGGTGGAATCTGCATACGTCAGAGGAGATAAGAATCCAGGGAAGCTGAATCAAAACCCAAATAAAGAGCAAAAGAGAAAAAAGGAGAACAATTTTTTTATATAGTTCTGAAAGAAATCCTAAACAAACTATAAGACTGAAGATTTTAGGCTAAACATCTCATACACCATCTTCTATAACTGATGCTACAGCAGCTAAATTTCATTTCCTCAAATGGAAAAGAATGCCATGAAGAGAATTAATGTAGCATGAAGCACACAGAGTTCAAAGCAAGTTGAGGAAGTATCTGATGAGTAAGAAAAGACCATCTCTAGCGATGTGGGAACAAAATAATTTATATTATGAAGAGATGGAGACATGCATGACAGTATTCTTAAAAGATCTGAAAATATTTTAAAGAAAGTTATAGCAGGGCCAGATGCTAATCATATTTTTATAACCATATAGCTTTTCCATCTTCTTTAAAGACTACAAAGTCACAGTAGCTGTAGTATGGGGAACCACCTTTGCCATTCCAGGAATGGGAAGGCAGTGCTGTGCTATGGTGTGGGTTCACAGACCCTAGGCTAGCACTGAGCCATTCCGTCACTGGGATCCCAAATATTAGAATCATAGAATGTTTTGGATTGGAAGGGACCTTGAACAGTCATCTAGTTCAACCCCCCTGCAGTGAGCAGGAACATCTTCAACTAGATCAGGTTGTGCAGAGCCCTGTCCAACCCATCCTTGAATATTTGCAGGGATGGGGCCTCCAGCACCTCTCTGGGCAACCTATTCCAATGTTTCACTACTCTCATAGTAAATAATTTCTTCCTTATAGCTAGTCTGACCATTCCACTGTCAGTTTTCATTTCCCATTTAAAAAGCCAAAGGGACACAGCTTCCCCTGTGTGTTCCTTTGAAAATGATTTGCTGGAAATTCAAACATTTAGGAAAAAGGTTATGGAAGCTGTGCTACAGCATTGGTCTGCATGCACATGATTTATCTCTTTGGGACTATCACAGCTCCAAATAACACGTGGGCTTTCAAAAGCTTTCAGATAACTGGGAGGATGAGGTAATGGCCAGTAGTTCTCTTCCATTTCTCCTACATTCTCCTGCAGGAAGTGGGAACAAGATTTAAGCAAGTGGTGAGAAAAGCCACGTGGGAAACAATGTTAGAAGAGCAATAAAGATCTATCAGTACCTACTGATGTAAATCATCATTCTTGTGCACAGTCAGGATATCACACCAGGAAAAACACCGGAGAAATGATTACACCTTTTGGGATCTTTCAATAATACAGCCCTTAATAGCTTGATGGTCTTACAGTTTCTAATACTGACTAAATTGGAGTATTTGCAACAATGCGGTAACGTTTATAAACTGGCTGAAGTTTATAAAGCTAATGTCATAACAACTAAGTATGTCACACAGGTCATACTTGCTCTTTTAAGTACTTGGCCACACAATGAATCTTTTAACCATGCTGGGTTACGAACAGATCAATGTCTTTTTCTTTTGGAGAGGCTTTATAGGATCAGAGGATAATTCAAATTAGAAGGGACCTTACGGGTTCTTTAGCTCCTAATCAAAGCAGGGGGGTTGGAACTAGATGATCTTTGAGGTGCCTTCCAACCTAAATCATTCTATGATTCTATGATGTCTGATCAGGTTACTCAATTTGGTCTTGAATTCCCCAAGGATGGAGACTGCACAACCTGCTTAAACTGCCTGTTGTCTCTCATCCTCTCGCCATGTACCTTTGTCTGGCTCCGTCTTCCTGATAACCATAAAGTGGCCATCAGAAAGCTGTTAGCGTCCTCTGAAGCCATGTCTTCTCCACGCTGGACAAGTCCAGTTTCTGCGGCTTCTTCTCGTGGGGTATGTACTCAAAGCTCCCAAACATCTCAGTGGGGCCTCTGCTGAACTCACCCTAGTTTATCAATGTACTTCCTGTACTAGGGGTCTCTGACCTGGGTGTAGTATTCCAGATGCAGTCCAGTGACTGCTGAATAGAGGGAGATGATACTCGCTTCCCCGGGTTTGCTCTCTGTGCTCCTGTGAATACAGCCCAAGAAGCTGCTGCCCTTCTTTTCTGCCAGGACAAACCGCTGGCTCACGCTGTCTAAGACCCCAGCTCCTTTCCAGCAAAGCTGCTCCACAGCCAGTCCGTCCCCAGGACCGTACTGCTGCAGAGGCAGGGGCTTTTATTTTTCCCTCAAGTGTGCTTTAATGACCTGTTTCCGTGGTGTCCCCCGAACAAACAGTCAAGTGGTTTCACGGAAAAATACGATTCAACCATAAGTGGTCTCAGGGACTATGAACTGTAACTTTTAAAAGTTTAACTACAAACTCTTATTTATTATTGCTTTATTATTTATAGCGTAAACAGATGAAATAATACAATAAAAGGCTACTGATACCAGAATTTCTTCTGTCAGGTAAAAGGGCCCACCTAATCGTACTGCATACATCATACGAGCAGCAAAGAACAGCTAAATGCACAAAATTGTCAGCCAGCATAAAATCACGAAGTACAGTTTTCTCTGCATCAAAGATAGGAAACAACGTGACAGTAAAGACGCTGGTATTGACTGGAACATGCAACTCTACAGGACCGCTGCAGTAGCTGCTCTTAGCTAGGTAATTCATTTTATAACACCATAATTTTGAGCACAAAGACAACTACCATACATCTGGCATTCATCTGCTTATGTCCTGCACAAAAAAAAGACCTGAACATTTATTGCAGGATGAACGGTTTAGTATACAGTACACAACTTTCATTCAGGATGCACAGTTTCCTCTTCTTTTGCATGGCACAAGAAATTCTGATCAACAAACTCCACGCTGAGCTTCTTGACCCAGGAAAAATACGAACATTTTCTTGTTACAGGTATTGTCTTTAGCTTCATGTTTTATGGAGTTTACAAGGATTCTGATATCTGGCTGTACTTAAAAAAGCATGCATAAGAAGCTTTACTCGTCATTGTCTAATCTTGCTTACTAAGGTTTTCTGTTTGCTAGACAGCTCTGGCTCTGAAACGGTAACTCTATGCACATTCTTCCTAGTTAAAAAAGTTTAGCCAGACTGTACTTAAACAAGCAGCAATTTAGGTCCCTGTGGTCTCCTCAAGCAGGGGACTGAAAAAAATCTGATAATCTTGTATATAGTTTGGTACTAACTGCCAAGCCAGTCTGGTCTACTCACCTCTTTCACTGACCATGAATGTGAAAAAACCAAACAAACCCCAAACCATTTTATGACACGCTGGTAACAGAATTTGACAACTATGGCTACCCCTTAGAAAACACAGAACAGATAACCCCTCCCTAATTTGAAACCTTGGAAATTTCAACTCTAACCATGCACCTCAATTCAGGATTTCTATGAACTTTACTGGAGGACAGAATATAGTCCACTGAGAAATCCCATTGGACTTAGCAAAAGACAGTTTCAACAGGTAATGATAGACCCAGGCACCTCCAGCCATGGGAGAGACTCTGAGTTTCAAGGAAGGAGAGGGAGAAACAATAACACTTTAAAGACTAAACCCATAATTTATTATCTGGTACTGTACATTTTGCAAGCCTGACATTTTTGGTGGAGAAGTAGAATAAAGCAGTTAATACTACAGAGGACAGTGACTGTAGATATAATTTATTTGGTTCAGAGCAAAATAAAATGTGATTATAAAAGTACAGGATTTCAAATAGAATATTTGAGCTCCCGAATTTCAATAGCTGAAAAGCTAATACTTTATTGAATTAGACACAAGAAAACTATACTGGACCAATAATGGGATGATGGATTTTTGGTCTAACAGATGTCAAAATATTATATCTAGAGAATAGTACAAGGCAACAGGAGGCATTCATGATACATCCTTTAATAAATTCCCAGACCTCCTTAGTACTAGTTTGTATGTATTTATTAACTCTCAACAGATTTCTCTTCCATCAAGTTATCCAATTTTCCCTTGAAGCAGGAAGTTCCACTAGTTGACTATCTATGAGCATCTTTTGCCCCTTCTCCTCCCTTTTTTTTAACATGCCACTTTTTTTTTTTTTAACTTTTACTTCATTTATTCAGAAATCAGTGAAGTAGGAACTCTTAAGGTAACTTAATGTGGTCCTGGTGATTTTTTACTGTTCCTTTCTCCCACCTTGCTCCATAGATTCATTCTACGCATTTTACCTTTTTATCCATCCTACATCGGAAGTTCTGCATTTAAAAAGTACAAAAATTGGCAGATGCCATCAAAAGCATTTCTCACAAAACAATTTCCCATCATTTTCAACAGGAAGTTGGAGTTACGTGGTTCTCCTCCTCTGAGTTCGTTCAATAAAATGAGGAGCTGTGTACAGAGACTGCTGTCAGTCACCACTCAGAGCCAGCCCGTGAATGGCACGGCCAAGACACAGCCAAGGCTACGAGAAGTATGTGTTCCTCTGCTGCACTTCTCAACATCTTGGTGTCACTCTTGCCAGGTTAGCGGAAGCACCAAACATTAGGGTCCTCCTTACGACAAAAGGATGGTGCAAAGACGGCCACGTGCCTCTGCAGAAGCCAGCCCTGCTCTGGTCAAACATATTCTCCTCCAGGTCCGTGCTCTCAACACTTAAAACTAAAACAGCTATGACATTCCCAGAAACAGGAACACAAAATAGGCTGGGTCAACCTGATTTGGCAGGGGTTTAGATCTCTACTGATCCTCTCCTGCACAATCCTTATTTGTAAAGCGCTGTGCCTGGGTCTAAATGCAGACAGACTGTATAGTTGACAGCTGATTCTGCATGGAGTTATCTCAGAAATATTTCTGTTCATGGCACAGATGAAGCAAAATCTAGGTGAACTGCCTATTACTGAGAGGTAACTGCAATAACTGACTACACAAAAAAGTACAGATGAAGAAAAGTAACATATTCCATCAAGAAAATGTCCCCGGAAATAATGATTCCAGCTCCTCATGCATTGCCTGTAATGTTCTGTACAGATCACATAATTTCTCAGTGTTTCCCCACAAGAAGAGCATTAAACCCAGCTCCCTTTCTCTTACTTTATATGACCAAGTTACTTAAAACTATTGTCCTTCAGGAAGCATTCAGAAACAAGAATATGAAATATTAGACTTGGTCAGGTCTCCATGTGCAACTGTAAGACATATTTTTTTTCCAAATAAAGACAGAGAAATGCAAAAATATGCAAAAATGTTCCATCAAAGAATTAACTCTTCAGCTGTGTTGTATTCCAAATAAATGCAAAGATTAGGAAAGAAATGACATCTTGCGATTACAGATTCTAGCACAGAAAAATTATATAAAGACTTTTTAAATAGAAAAAGAGTGCATATAAATCTTTGGTAACAGTACATTTAAAATGTTTGCAAAGACTTAGTATCAAATGGGATTCTTCAAGATAATCAAGCAAGCATCGGTAATCTAATAAAATCAACATTTCTGATAAAAAAAGCATTTCTGTGAATTTAGAATAATTTATTTGTTTAGAGCTCATGTTTAGGAAACAAATCCTGAAATTAATTCTTATTAAAGGGCATAAGGGTCTTTTTACAAGCCTTAGAGTGCCCCTGCTATGGAGATTCATATCAAAAATCAAGAGATTTTACATTACAAGACAGTTCGCAAAAAACCACAGACTTAGGATGCGAACAACACAACTTTATGCATCCCTGTCTTTTCTCAATATGCAAAATCCATTCAAGGTTCTTCCCATTTACTCTGCACTACTGTTACTGCCAACAGGCTACAGTGAAAAATCTCAGTGTTACTTCAGTGAAGAGGGGCAGAAAAGTCATCATATTCCAACTGGCTGTTTAAAAACCGAACAAAGCATCAGCGTCTCCAGAGGAATGGATCATTCACTTTCCACTCCATCACTCTTGAGTGCATTCTCGATTTCTTGCAAAAAATACACAGACTGGTTGCAACGTGAAAAGCTCTTGTGAGAGATCTTGACCACTGGTTTTGGCAGGTTAAGAAATAAATAAGCAAATAAGTTGCTACTTTATGATCAAAAGTATTCTAGGGAGCTCGATGGCCAAATATTCATTGTGCTTGGAAGGATCACTTAAGTTTACGTAAGGAGACCACAGTGGCACAAGATTCACGCATTTCAGGTGAGGATTTTGTATCAGAAGTGCAGTTCAAAGACACTAGTAAAAATCTCCCTTATCCCTTTAGATTCTCACAGTAAAATCACAGGGCAAATGTGATCTGATGTTAAACATATTGCAGGCGACCATACCTTTAAGAGCTTTTCTCTTTGCTTTGCTAGGTTCAGTTTCTCAGCGAGCTGGCTGAAAGATAAGTTGGAGGTTTCGATGTCTTCGTGCATCAGAATATAGGGATGCGCATTACCTTTAAAAAAAAAAAAGCAGCTGCTTGTCACTGCATTTTTCCCCAACAAGCTTCTAAGTATAAACAAAATTTAAAGAAGTCAGGCTTATATTAACTTCTTTTTTTTTTTTTGAGCAAGCTTTCATATTCAACAAGCAAGAGAAGCCCAATTCCAATGCAAGACTAAACCAGCAATACAGAATGCACATCAGAGAATCACAGAATGTGCGGGGTTGGAAGGGACCTCGAAAGGTCATCTAGTCCAACTCCCCTGCCAGAGCAGGATCACCTGGAGTAAGTCACGCAGGAACGCGTCCAGACGGGTATTATTAAAAATGAAAGCCAACCACTTTGCTAGTATTTACGAAAACCAGGAGTGTTAGGCTAGTGTGAATAAATATTTAATGAGCATGGCAGATCAACACATGGTTACTTTGACTCTTTTCTCTTATTTGTGTAATACAGTTAAACAGTGGAAAACTATCCAACGACTATTGGATTTGAAAGAGAATTACCTGCTTATAAAGCTTTGGTTCTCCAATAAGATTGGCATCACAAGACTCATCTAACACAAAAGATATAATCATAGCACTCGCACCTGAGCTAAAGTTATTAACAGATAATTGTAAAACTAATATGCAACAATCTTTAATTCTAGCAAATGATTTGAACCCATATTTGCTTACACTAGAGCCAACAAAAGTGATGAAGTTTCTACCTCTAAAGAAAATCTCACCATTTCTTGAGGAGGATAAAGAGAGACCCAGAAGTGTTTCATTTTATAAATAGATTTTGAAACTGCACATTTGTGTTAACTCTCACATTCACAGAAAAGTATGATACTGCTTTGAGAAACGTGTATTGTCAAAAATGAAGCAACAAAGTCAGAACTATTCACCAGCGCAACACAGCATAAAAAGAAATAATGTGCAAACTGGAGTACGTACCTCTATTAGCATTCAGAGCAGCTAACTGTGACTTCAGTTTTGCAATAATGCTGTTCTGAAGCTCTATCTTTTCCTGCTGTTCACGTATTTGCTGCATGTAGTTTTCTGTCTGCAAATATAATTTAATTAGCATTAATCTTATTCTGTTTTGACTAGGGGTCTCCTGTTTGGCATATAAAAAGTAGCTCTGATTTTTAAAGATAATTGTAGTTGTGGGCCTCTGGGTGAAAACCCAACTACAGTCATGTTTGGCAAGTCCATATTTTTGAGACTGCACTGACTAGAAAGGGTATTAAAGGAAAAAAATCCTGATTCTCAGTAACTGCTTCAACTGTTGTGAAGGCAGCTGTAAAGGATAGTTTTAAGTTAGGATTTAAGTTAGGATTCTTCAGTCACAGCCATAGAACACCTCAGGTTTAGAATTTTAGTATTCTTCAGAATACTAAATTCTTCAGAATACTAACTCTTCAGTTAGTTTATCTATAGAAAGATGCAATTTTCTTTCCCCATATTTTCTAACAAATAAATTGTATAAAAATAGGCTTTCAGAAAGATAGATTTTACATGGAAAACAACAACATTGCTTATTCTGTGCAACAGATATTCTGTGAATAACTTTAACTGCCTGTGAACAGTTTTGCCCATTCCTTTGAATGTAGTAAAGTTGTTTTTCTAATCTAGAAAGCAGGGTGAGGGGAAAGCAAGCAAGCAAGCTGCTCCATTCTTCATCTAGCTATACTCCATCTCATACTATAAATAGGCCATACAGAGCCTGATAAGACTGCTCACATTTCACCAAAACGTATAAATATTGTTAGGCAGCCAGTTAATTGAACAATTGCTCAGGTGGCAGGAATATGCTAATATTTCAAAACTATTATTTCATTAGCACGTGCCTAATGTTGCAGTTAGTGTAGTGCTAAAGGCAAGCAACAAAACTTGTGAAGTCCCGGCAAAGAAACTTACAGGAATGCATTAAATTTTTCTGAAATTAAGAATATGTCTATTAGTGAACAGGTCATGACGTGGGACAGGACTAGGCATTGTTTTCATATCTGTTCATAGTTTAACCATATTGCTATCTAATTCTCAAATATCAGTCACATTTTAATTCCACACCCCTCTACTGCCCAATGTGCTTGACTGTAAAGGAGGGGAAAAAAAAAAATCTACAATCAAAATTTATTTTAAAAGTCCAGGTAGCAGTTGTACTATAAGAGTTTATTTAAAAAAAAAAAAAAGTGATCAAAGAGCAGTACACTCCAGCAGCTACAAGAGACCTCATGAAGCAGAAAAATCACTGAGAACCAAATTGAAAATGTACAACAGCAATGTCTTGTCAACACTTCTGTACAGAGCACAGACATGACAGCTAAAACAGACAGAAGAGAAGATGCTTTTGACAGCCAGTGTGCACAAATTATTCCTTGAGTCAGATGGCAGCAACAAGTTACCATCTAGAAGATCTGCATGACAACCAACCATCCATCTGTATCAAACACCATCTGGCCGAGATGACTCTGGCTTCTGTGTGCTTGACATGGCTCCCAGCTCTAGAGACTGGCAAAACAAGTGGCCTATCGGTAACTTAAGTAGTAAACTGTTAACAACAGAATGGTGGACAATCCAACAACGTGTGAAGGCCACACAATGAACAGAGGAAGTTACTAAAGTAAAGCACTGTACTAAGGTCATTAAAAAAACCAGGAGTTCGGTCAAAAAAACCTGAAAAGCAACAGAAACAAAAAAAACCCCACAACTAATGATAGTATCAACTCTTCTTGAAAAAAATTCTTTCATTCTCTTTTGAGGTCATGGAATCCAGCTACTGAAAGCTGGATTAGGACAAAAGTTTGAACTGGTAGCAATTGTTTATGAAAGGCTTTAGTTTTTAATTTCTGAACCGGAGAAAATGCAGGGAAAAATCCTGCATGCATTTAGTTCCCTTAACACTGGTGATCTCACACACTTCTCTGGTTTTCTTCCATAGAGTTCAGAAAGGCTGTCGCCTGACCTTGTACGCGCTGTCTTGGTTATCGGCCAGAAGTTTGTTTCATGTACTGTAAGATGACCCAGGAGTGTTAAATTGACTGGTTTTCCTTTAAATAATTAATTGCTCATCATGAGAGACAGAACTTAATCCCAAACATTCTAAAATGTGTTGCCTTTTGTTAAGTTCGTTGAAATTTCAGCGCAAAATATATCCGCTTGAGTTTCTTAAGTACGGAAAACGCTACAAAGTCGCACCAGCACTGCTGCACCAAACTATGACCTCTCAGACCGCACAGCGGGTGATGGCACATGCCTGACCATACCTGTTCTGCCGTTCCACTTATTTTGCCATGCAAGGAGGTGGCAAGATTGTGTCCAAATACCAGAATTTTCTCCTGTAGACTCTGCCCTGGTCCCAGTTCTACTACTGCTTCCATAACGTGACACCAAGTATGGTTCATCTGCCTCTGAACAACGGCCCAGCCTACCAGTTCAATGGAAGTATCAAAGAGTCCCATAGCATCAAAATATTAAAGCCTTCCTGTAACAGAGGTTCCTTTGCTGGGCAGAATACACACGATAAAATTAGCATGACAAAGCCCCAAACTGCCAGTTTTGTGACATGCTGGCACACATGATGAGGAGTCCTAGAGGAGTTTCAGCTGAAGTAATGTATTCTACAACAGATATAGGTAAAAATTCTAAGGTGCTTCTTACTTGTCAGAATGCCTCCAGAATCTTTCTGTTACTTCATAATTAAAGAATAATTGTACAGATTATTGTTTTTAAAAAAAATCAGTACTTATTGTACTTATTTTAAGTTAAGTTTGCTCTAAATGTTTTAACAGACAAACTCTCTTGCCCTAATAGCTTCATAGCACTTAGCATATTAAGAGTCTTTGGCCTTTACATCAAGTAAACCAGTAATTCATATGTCATGCCTTCCTATTAACACAAAAATTACTTAATTGAAGCTATTTACATTAATAATTGAAAAAGTATTGCTTTAGTAAAGCAAATTAATTTTCAAAAAGTACTTCATCAAGATTAGGTAAATTTTATATACATCTTTGCTGGTTAAATTAAAAGACTTCATTAATCCTCCGAAAGAGACAACAGTTTTCTCGCCTTCAAAACTACAAAAAAGTTAAAGTTCAAAAACCTGTTACCCTCCTACTACATTCACAGCCTAATAAGTTACTCTGCAGCGTACTGGCCTGGTTTCACAACGGCAATTTCCACTTTTAACAGATGCACTAAAGTGTGTGTAGCTAAAGTGAACCCGAAATCTACGTGTACCACAACCCTCCAGGGGAAGGATGGCTTTAAAGGTGCAATTCAGAGCCCAACACATACTTTTTGCTGGAGTTCTTTCACAGCATGGTCTCTATCCATGCAGGCTTGGCGATAGGCTTCATACGCTTTGTTAAGCTGCTCTCCAATGTTTTTGTCCATAATTCCCAAAGTTGTTTCATCACTGAAAAGACGGTCGAGTTAACAGACCTGAGAAGTAGTCAGACGGAAAAAAAAAGAGAATTCTAAGAAACAGAAGTATGTAACTCAAACCATATGTAACATGACTTGTATTAATATCAAATTCAAGTAATATGTGCAGTATGTTTGAGCATTAACTCACATAATAGTTAACTCTGCTCACCTCAACATTTAGTTTTATGTCCAGGAAGCAAGTTAACTCTGAATAAAATTCAGGGTGTCCAGAATGTGTAAATGTATGTGTAGTTACAGTGTTTTAGGGCTGAGACTTAAAATTGGTGCAGATCTCCAGTTACCTGATTCTATGACAGTTCCAACAGTTTAATGTTTACTCAATTGTGAAACAACAGATAGCATTAAAAAAACCCCCAAATTCAAACAAAACTCAGCTTCTGGCATTAGGTAATAAAAAGATAAAAGCTTAATAACATTAGGTCACATGAATCTATCTTATTCTATGCCATATTTGAAAATGGCAACAGTAGCAACACTGTGAGGTGAATGAAAACATCTTTTATCTAAAAATCAGTAATACCAACCAGCAGAAATTAGCAAGACTGAGACCTCTTAACACAATACTATCAACTTTTTACACTTTGTCAACAATTTCAATAACAATTCCTGCAACTACAGCTCATGAACTTCTACACATAAGACTACAACACTATTAAATGTCATGGGCTTCAGTTTCAAGACAGTGATCTTTGCAATCACAGATCCTTTGCTTCTACAGAATATATGACATTATCATAATGTAAGTACAGTAGAGGACAGGTTAGTGAAATCACAAAAAAAACCCCACCGCAACCCCAAAGTACCAAGATTAAGAACAAAAAAATTAAATCAGTAATTCACATTTCTTCTCCTGATACTTAAAGTCTGGTTAACTCACAATACACAGGATGGACAGACACTCTTACCTCTCACTGCCTTCTGGGATTATGCATAAACCACAGATATTATTAAGAAGATGAGCCAAGCAAAAGGCTATGAGGATAATCATTTTAATACATGGGCCACATCTTTAGGTAAATGGGTAGGCTCTTTTCAGTTTCAAATGAAAGACCGGTTTATGTAGTTTAATGAATGAAATCAGATATTGCAGTTGACTGCAGGGGTAGGTACTAAACTGCAGAAGGGTATTGTTAGGGCTGAAGATGATTGAAAATGTGCTCGCACATTCTTAAAAAAACTTGCAGAGTTTCCACTGATGCTGATTTTGTACTTTTCTGGAATTCTCCAGAGACATTGGTAACAATTTATGTAGTAAATGGCAATGTCCTGTACATACAAAAGGTAACTTAATAAAATGACTGCTGGTACTAAAAGTAATTGATTTGCACCTGATCTTCTACTTGGTAGAGAAAACTAAGAAGAACAGTAGCTAATTCACTGGTAGCTTCATAAATTCAGATTCTATGCAGTAAGAAAGAGGCAGTAAAAGTCACTACTAGTGACACTTTAAGATGGAACTGTAACTAGAAGAATTGGTTCTATATTCCCCCTACCTTAGACACTTATTTCAGCCTCATCTTTTCCTCTCTTCCAGCACAAGCAGTCTTACTGTAAACTGTATCAGCAAACCAAGCCAGCTTAAACTTAAACGCTAAAGGTATTTTTTGCTGTGTTAGTTTTCATGCACATCAGCTCCATAGACCACTTCAAATGGCACTGGAACACAAGGAAGCCAGCACGGGAACAAAAAACATCAGCAAAATGCAGACAGAACTCCTCTGTTCAGTGGCAGCATTGGCTCTGAAACTGTAACATGAAGTCAGAGTTATGTAACAGTGATGTAAGCCTGCACTGCCACAGAAAGGATAGTCCTGCCTTTCACCATCTCTGGCCATGTAGTTTTGCCACTTACTTGTACCCGTATTAGCATTTCTGTGCTACACAGCTGAGTACGCCAAAGTAGCTCCCTACTTCCTCAAAAAAACCCAACACGCCCCCTAAAAAAACCACCCCAAAATTAAAACTGGAGCTCGCTCACTGCGAGGCTGCTGGAGCACTACTACCAACACAGGCAGGCAGTGGGAACATGAGACTAGCCGTGGGCAGGACTGCAGCAGTCTACATTTAGATTGGATCAAACTACTCTGTAGTCACACCCCGAACTGCCTGCTGTTGGAATAAAGAACTGCTTCTTATGTTATCTATCTCATATCCAGAACTCCTTGCAGTTAGAAAAACTGGCTCCTTTTCCTGCTTCTCCTCCATAGGCATCAATATTTATCAGGGAATTTGCCAACTGTTCCTTGTCATTTACTCCTCTCCCTACATGCAGTTAGCAGGGGGAAAAAAATCTGAACAACCCTAAAATTCAAAAAATACCCCCACCTCCAAATATCCCCGCTATTTTAATCAGGCTTAGCTATTCTGCATCTTTACTGCAGCTGGAACATATTCAGCCCAAAGCTGAAAACACCGATCTTTAGCAACTGACGTTGTGGATATTCATTAGATCCTCAAGACTTTCATGATTATTAATGGCAATACGTAGCCTGAACAGATGCAGCAACATAAACCGCAGAGTTTATTCTAACAGGGACAGAATTAGAGAAAGAGATTAGCTCCAGAGTTTGTCTCATAAGGGAGTCCTGCAACTGAGAGTACCTGTGAGCGTTGTGTTGCTGGAGCTGTGGCAATGCAAACTAGAATTTCATCTTTGGGTAAAGACTTGAACGGTAGAAAACAACTGAGCATAGCAAATGTTGCAAGACAAACTTTTAGGTGAACCAATTCATGAAACCTGCAGATTGTTTTAAGATATTTGCTTCGAATGAGAAACATTTTGCTGATACAGAAAGGAAAAAAAAGAAGCAGCAGTAATATGAATCTTCTGTGAATCAAATGCCAGAAAAGCCCCAACATAAAGATTAACAGCATACTGCTGCGTATTTCCTGAAATCCTGGCTCCACAGATCACTTCAGAGGTGCACTTTGAGTTTTCATAGTGACTCAGAAAACACCTTAAATTCTGAAACAATAAGGTTTTAGCTAATCGTGTATATACGCATTCATTCACGGTACACATGCCTACCTCTCACAGGTTCATGTGAGAACACAGATGCCATCCAGAAGCAAGTATTTCTCTACATGTTTCTGCTTTCAAACAGGCTTCTTCAATGGCGGTATTTTGTGCGTTACATTGCCATCATCTTGGAAACTGGGAACCTGTTGAGGGAATCATGTGTGAAAGCCCGAGAGCTCACTGCACTTTCGTTTGTGTTCCCTTGTGGGTTTTGGTTTGGTTTTGTGTCTGATGGACAAAATTCCTGCTTCGCCCGA